ATAATAATAATAATATAATAATAATAATAATATTTATTGATTTGTATTGCGCAAATATCAATCCAGAGTAAAAAATTTTCATCTGCCATTAACTCTAGGCGCGCGAAACGTTTCTCTGATTCTAAGGTGAGATGAGTTGCTACTGATACCAAGCGCGGAAAAAAGTTGCCCCTGACTCCAACCGCGGGAAAAATTGCTTCTGACTCCAAGCTCGGTAAAAGTTGCTTCTGACTTCAAGCGCGGGAGAGTTGCCACTAACTCCAAGCTCGGGAAATTTACTTCTTAGTTAGGGCCTGGAATTGCAGGCCTAAGGATGTTTGATCATTGTACACATTCTTCCAACTTCAAGTCCTAGGTAAAGTCTGATATAAAGGTGATCTACACTTAGGGAGCTGCAACAGTTGAAGGAAAGATTCCTGTTTAATTTAGACAGTTAATATCGTATTTCAGAAGTGAAGTTTCGTTCTTAATTTATCACTAGTATTGCAGTTCTGTTGAGAATCAAATTTTTTTTGTAGGTGTTTAATATTCGCACAGTGAAGGCCACTAAACGCACCATACCTCCACCTGTGCCTTTCTTCAAGACAACTGTTGGTATAATCAGTTTAGTATTTGGCTGTTTTGCGGTGTTGCTGGCGATTGCTTCTGTTGTATACTGGAAAAAGCGTGCAAAGAAGAGGTTGGTAGAAATACTTCATTTTCCGATCCTAACGAATGCGTGGAACTTTTTCTTTTTACTTTAACTGTTTTCTGCGATATACTAAGCTCAGGTCTTAGCGTTTGTTGTTGTTTGTCTTTTTGTTGTAGTTTGTTGGAATTTCTCTCGCTGGCCCATTGTAAAGAGCGGCTGTCTTTATTGTTGCCGTTCGCATCCGCTTTACGAGACATCGGCTTGCCCTGCTGTAAAATTTGCCATCCGAGACCAAAGTTGCTAAAAGCGCAAATTTCGTTGTTAATGTCTGAAGTCTCTGTGTACATTGTTGAACGAACTGTATTTAAATTATTTTAAAAAGAAAAACATTTTTATAATGATTGATATTCTGATTTGTCGTTGACAGACTTCGATTGCTAGAATCCCGTGAACCTAATTTAAGACCCCACAGAGACTCCACAAACACAGAAGTCGCTTTACACAAAGGTAAGTTCGTCAAGAAGAGGTAGGGTAGGGGGGACGGGAGGGGAGGGGAGGGACGGGATACGCAACAAATTTTTGTACGGGATACTCTGCATGGAGTTTAAAAGCTAGGCCTTTCATTTATTACCTCTGACATAGAGGTACGTCACACTTTCACTTGGGACATAATGAAAACACTGCCTATATGACGCACATTGTACTGGTACGTGGTAAAGCTGTTCTTTAGAAATTAAGCGGCGTAAAACCGTTCTCTAGAACACGTTGAAAACCTTCTAACCTTGTTGTAAGACATTTTCATACTAATTTCTGTTTTTAAAGTAGTAAAAAAAATTGATCTCTAAGCTTTCTTCTTTCTAAAGGCAAGGATAAGCGAAACAAAATGATCTCACCTGTAATGGCGGATGATCAACAAATTGTAAGTATTCACGAAAGAGGGTTTAACATTCTCACCAGTAAGAAAAAATTAAAAAGATAGACGATGCGATTGTTTGAACTACTTTCGTGAAGCTCTTCTGAATATTTTTCTGGGAACGTGAAAGGCAATAAATATGGCTATAATACAAATGTGTAACGTCGCTGCATTTGTGAACCCCAAGTTTTCCCTATAGATCGATCATTTTTGGTTTAATAAATGTTCTTTTCACTGTCAGCTTTCGGCCCTCACAAAAACAAATGTTCAGATTTATAAAAGGTTCGGCTAAATTAAAGGTAGTTTAGAAAACAACTTAACTTTTTCAGTATAAAGAATCAGACTTTAGACTCTACGTGTCAACTTCGACTTTGAATTAGTAGACACTGAGCTAACCTGCGCACAACATTGTACGGTTCACTATAATTTTGATCATAATTGTAATTATTTATAAATAAATTCTTTGTTCAGGTTGCTCACAATGGAAAGCGATTCGATGGAAGAGCTGTAGATCCAGGTATTTGTAAAGCCTTTAAATATGATAGTATTCATTTTAAAAAAAATGTCCAATGTATAATACCAAACGTATATGTGAGATACGGAATTTCCCAACCTAAATATCACTGCTTGGTTTTCTCAATGTTCGAGGGGAACTCAGAGAAAATTATTTACTAAGATCAACGCGTAATCCTGTTCCCTTCGTATATTTTGAAACGCAGTTTAGTCCGAAGGGTTATCATCCCATTTTTTTTTTTTCTGCTATTTTCTTTACAGCGACAGGGAAAGTTTACCTTTTCAATAAAACGACTGGTGAGCGCATGTGGCTCAAAGACTTGCGCGAAGAAAGAAATGGTCCCCAATCCCTTTACAATCACCGTCAAACGCATTCGAGGTATGCGGATCGTCAACATTACAGAGTGCAGGACATACCGCCACCGCGAGCGTCAATAGAGAAAAGACACGAATATAACAACAGAAGCAGTCATCTCCAGTTACCAGGAACGCCTGAGGGGCATTCATAACCAACTCAGTTGAATGAGCTTGCAAAGGTATCTGTTTCTCAGGCAAGCTTGGCCGACAAGGAGTTAATTAATTCTTGTCATGCGTAAAGTGTGCCGCTGAGCTCTGGATATCAAAATTTCGGCTGCAGCCCCACAGATCGCTACAGAGTATTTAAGATCTTCTTGTCAAGCGCTTATCGTAGGTTTACCTATTTTTATAACACACCACCAAGGGCGAACGGTGAACCACAAAAGTAAAAACCGGTAATACCTGTGTGGCCCACGCTGTGCTTATCACCTCCAGTGCTCCCGGCGTCCTCTCCTGCTGATGTCCTCTCGGCCAAGCGTTCGAAATTGGGCAGGAGTGTCTGATAATAGACGAGAGCGTCCTGAACCGGATTAAAGTGTCCAAAAACAGACAAAAAGTGGACCAAACCGTACGAAACACCAGGGAATTTTTCGAAGTTGGACGGAAATTTTGAGGCCGTCTCTAATAAACGTCCTGCCCATATTGACCCCGGATTTTTTTTTTTTTTTTTTTTCACTTTGTGGAAATAAAATTGAGGATTGATTTCTCAATTTTGTATTTTCACATCGTATCTGGTGTTTCGTAACATCTTACTTAAGTTTTTTTTTTTTCAAGGTAACACGTAAAAATATCCTAAACCCGAGAGAACTGTCCGAAATTAAACGAAATCATCGAACATCAGACGGTATCCTCAAAGATTGGAACTGCTTAAAAAGGGACGATAAATTCTTCAATCTAGAAACGAGTCATATATATCTTCGTAAACTTCAAATACTTCAGTTAGGAGTTTGTTATAGATCTTTTTTAATTCAATTTGCAGTTAATGGAAAATGGCTACGCACGAAGTTTATCCGAACAGAAACTAATTTGAATTTCATTCAATCAGTCATAAGAAAAACGAATATAAGGTGCGTACAGTATAACTGCGTTCCCTCCCCCGCTTCTTGCAAGAAGCGTATTTTTCATCGCTCCAGGCTACTGGAGACCGCTTTCCCGTGAAACATAAGCCAAAAACCAAACCAACACTACATGCTGAATTCCAAGAATAATTTCATCAACGACTTATCTTGCTCCTGAATTGCAGTGAAGTCAAGAGAAAATCTCTCTTCAATGATTAAGCAAAAAACATAAACCCGTCCACGCGACCTTAATGCAACGTACGATAATAGTGTTTCCCTTGAAAATTACTAACTAGCCCCTAGTTGGTCTATCTGTGTTTTCCCAAGTAGAACACCTCAGCCCCACCTCTCCCCCGCAAGTCGTAAGCCAACGCCCAGAAAACTATGCATTTCGCTGTAGCGATGTTTGTTTACAGTGCCGAGTTAAATAATATGCTTTGATATTTAACACTAGCTCTCTTCTAGATATACGTGAAAAAACTTTTCACCATCATTTGTGCTATTTTTCAATAGTCCACCCGAATGGGGGTTTAAATGCTCCCCTTCTCTTACCAGTCTCCTTTCCTCTTCACCCTCCCCCCCAGGGTCTAATCATTCGGAATTTTAATAAATGTGAGCATTGTCTTTGGTGGAGCGTTTGCTTATCAGATTGGGTTGATTCTTTCAAATGCCTAAGTAGAATGAGTGCTGATCTGTCTCGTTCAGTCTAGATTTTGGCCAATCTTATTTGTTTGCATATATTTGCTGTTACCCCTTTAGAATGGTACTGAAGACTGGTCTTCACTGAGCTGAAATATAATGAAAATGTTTTCTATATTCAGAACAAGCCCTCTAACCTTATTCAACCATGCAAATGCGATAGGCTCACACGAAATAGCAACGAGTCCTTGTAATTGTTCATAAACTTCAAACACCTGCTGAAAATTCAATAAATCAGCAATGGACTTGTATTGAATTTTTTAAAATTAAATTTGCAGTTTTTGATTTCACCGTGTATTATGATCCAACCAATGCTATTTACAGATATTAAAAGCGACTTTTTTTCAAGACCGCGTGAGAGGTTGCGCATCGACCGAAAAATGATTATCCTCTTAAGAGGCCTTACAGTGAACTTAGAAAGCCCAGCGGGAAAGTTACAAGGTCGCTCTGAGCTCATACTTAGAAAAAGTTAGCATCACCGACCTTGTAAAAAACAAGAATACATGTGACGAGAAAATGCAGATAATGGAAGAAGCTATTAGTTCCGGTATGGACGCAATTATGCCCCTGAAAGAAAAGTCGGTATCAGCGAATGAGGCGCCATGGATGAATAACTCCCTTAAACGCCTTATTCGCCGCCGGCAAAAAGCACTAACCAACAATAATCTGGCCTAGTACAATCAACTCCGGAATAAAGTGAACAGAGATCGGAAAGCATTTCGAGCAAAGTACTACGATGCCAAAGTCAAAGATCTCAAGGCTTGCAAGCTTGCCCAGTGGTGGAAGGAAATCAAACAGTTAAGTGGCTTTTCTAAGGTGGAGCGCGCGAGCCCCATCGCAGACCTTCAACACCTTGCCGATGAGGGGGAAGATCCTAAACATTTGGCCAATGTTATCAATGACGCTTTTGTGTCACTAATGAGTGCATTCACCCCCCCCGCCTGATGTACACGCGCACGCGTACGTACACCAACAAGAACCTCCCCGTCCTATATCTGAGTTTTCAGTCATCAAGAAACAATCGGCGCTTAACACGAACAAAGCATCCGGACCTGATGGAATCCCCTCTTCGGTACTCAAAGAAAACACGGACTTATTGGCTGCACCAGTGGCAGACATCTTGAATTCTTTTTTCTTTGGAGCGTCGCCTTCCAACTTCGTGGAAGAAAGTGGACATTACACCCCTCCCGAAGACTTCACCTGTTAGTGATGCTAACAAACACCCGAGGCCCACTTCTTTGACCCCAATTCTTTCTAAAGTCGGGGAAGAGTTTGTCATTGAAGGTTACGTCAATGCAAAAATTAACTGGAACCAATAAGGGGCTGTCCCGAACTCCAGCACTGTGCATGTCGCTAATCAGTATGCTTCACAACTGATATAAGGATCGATACTGACGGAAACGGTTCTACATTACGCGTGATGCTTAAAGACCGTTGAAGTTTAAGAAAGCATTCGATCTTATCGACCACGCCATTCTTGTGGCTAAGGTTGGGGGTTATGAGCTCCCACCTTGGTTGTTGGATTGGATTGCGGACTTTCTCACTGACAGGAAGCAACGAGTGAAGCTCGCCCATGATTGCTACTCGGATTGGGGATCAGTCAGCGCAGGTGTACCGCAGGGGACCAAATTGGGGCGCTGGCTCTTCCTTGTTATGATAAATTAAATCAATTAATTAATTTAATTTAATTAATTAATTAAATTAATAAATTAAATTAATTAATTAAATTTAATTAATTAATTAAATCAATGTAGACTGCGTCAACCTTTGGAAGTACGTCGATGACACATCGATGGCCGAGACGGTCCACAAAGGCCAACCAAGTAGAATCCAAGTTGCCGTAGACGAACTAGTTAGGCAGGCCGAGACAGATAAGTTCCAATTGGATGAGACCAAGTGCAAAGAGTTGCAAAGAAGTTTTTCAAGATCTCCAGATTCTTTCGAAGCAGTTACTATCAATAACAAACCAATAGAGGTTGCAACTAGCGTAAAACTTCTTGGTCTCACAATTTCAAACAATCTTAAGAACGTGTCCACGTTAGATCCAAGCAATATCAAAATTTTAGTCAACATGGTACCCTCCAGAATTTGATACTATTTTGTGTATATACTGGTATAAGTCCAAGTTAAAAACCTGCCAAACATTTTTCCCAAAGTCCGAACAGTTCACGAGATACAGTGGTTCGAGTGAAATGACACAATTTTAAGTAAAATCATGGTAAATTCGTCCATGAAGTCTGAAACTTTCTCAAAGACTATTGGGTCCAAAAATATAATTGAGTCAACTAAATTTGAAGAGGATGCGATAACTATGTTCGAAAATATTAATGTTTCAAGAAAACCTTCAAAAATCGAGATTTTTCATGATTCGAATTTCTAGTGAAAATCGCTTAAAATATCTCGGATGCGGCCATGTCTCTGCTGAGAATTACTCCATTTCCATAAAGTTTATTTGTTTAGGAGTATATAGAGGTGATAAAATCTGTGTGAAGTTATGTACGTATCGCCGTGTGAAACAATTGTTTTGTATCGACATTTCGCTCACAGCAACAGGAGAATGACAAATGGGGACTATGACCGTGATCTGGTTAAACATGCCATTGATTCTGGTGAAGACATTCTGGGCTCATTTTATATTTGAATGAACAATGTTAGGTTTATAAGACGTACCTGATAAAATAAATCCAATTTAGAGTAAAAGTACACTTGCCAAGCCTGGTGTACGCGGGAAACTACCGGCCGGTCGCTGACTTTATACGCTCAACCGTATGCAGCATTTTAGAATGATGGCTACGGCTGCAAAATGCTCAGAGATTTTTCAGGACTCACACTGGCCACTTGTCTGGATGATCAGTCGTTTGAATAGATAAGATAAAATGCTTGACAGGGTCTTTACACAATCGAAATCGATCTGTTAATAGTACTACAGGGCACCCAAGGTATCAGGGTACTATTATCAT